ATTTTTATATATATGCTATTGATTTTTGATACATTTGGAGTTGCGAGATCCAATGTATTATCATTTGTTTGGATATCATATACGTATTATGATTTTGCTATGTGTGAAGCTTGATATCTATAAGCCAGTTTTTCATTGTTTGAACCATAAATTCTTTAGTTACTCTGTAATTGGTGATGATATCTCGCAAAGGAATTTTTTTAAATGCAAGGTTTCATCTTAATTGAAATTAATCTCATCAGTAGGTTTTATTTTGCTGGTTTTGTAATCCCAATTCATATTAGGCAATCAGCTCATTTTGTGTTTTTCTTTTGACATGTAACTAGGGGAAACCAAGTATTTCATGAAGAGAGAAGCACCCACTATTGGAAGATTCATGTTTATAAGTTTGATATTAGCTTCAGATTATGTTCATATTCAAGTATTTACAGTTCGGTTAATGTATTACACACTTGTACTTATCTGTTCAGACAATAATTTAAGTTATAATGGAACTAGGTCATTTTATATTTAATTGAATATGTACTAATTAAAGCTCTATTATGTTTCTTTGGTGATCTTCTTTTCACTGCATAATTGGGGTGTTACGTGTGTGGGAACATGGTACATGTCGTAAGGTATATATATATACACACACACACATAGACATATATAGGGTTAGGTTCACGTTAGACCAATATGTTTTTATGAGACCATGCTTTTACACTTGAAACTTCACGACAAAACACTGTGAAGTTAAAAAAATATGAACCTTCACAGCAAAAAAAACACTACGAATGTTACCTTCACAGTGTTTTACTGTGAAGTTTCAAGTATGAAAAGATGGTCTAACAGGTCTCACGAAAACAGGCTAGTCTCACATGATTACAAGTCAGTGTATGTGTGCATGTGTATATATACATACATATATATTGATATACATATACCATGTCAAGTCACAAGTTAGGTACTCTACACCTGTTGGACAATTAACAAGATAGATCTCAAGGCATATTATATATGTAAGTGTGTTAGTAGTATAATTCAAGATGCATAATTCTTGTATGAAAATGTTATAGTGATACGATGTGTATTTACGTAGAAGTTACCATATTTTCTATTTCAAAAGGACCTTTGATGTTGTATATTTTACTCACATGTTTTAAAATATCTTTTAGTATGAAAATCATGAAATCATTAAATTTATAATCAATTGATCAGTAATATATATATATATATATATATATATATATATCTATCTTAATGAAATATCATGTCTATAATGGGAAAATGTCTAGTTTTGCACTACATGAATTGAATATGGTTAGGTTTTTATTATTTGGTTGATTTCAGTTGTATATATTTGTTTCGTACAATGAAACAAGCATGTCATAAGGAGTTGAAAGTTGTCTAAACCGTCTGATATTATTTAAGTATTCCATTGCAAAATGTTTCGAAGCAATTATTATGTTACCTAACAAGTTTTAGTTTAACATGTGAGACAATTAAGCATTAAAACCAATCTCATAACTTATAATTGATTTGTGTAAGATATTTTTCTAAAGGAGATTTAAATTAGATTTTGTAGATCAATTATGGTATTTAAAAAAACACAAACATTCACATGACCAGGTTTTCTTATGAATTGTACTTGATAACTGAAAATTAATATTAGGTTTGGGCAGGTTGGCGGGTTGAGGTGGGCAAACCATAAATTCGTTCGGATTTCAGATGAAGAAAGCAAGCACCAAATTTATGGGTTTTTGGTTGGGGTTGGCTGGGTTTCAGGTTCGGTCGATCGGGTATGTTATATATATATATATATATATATATATATATATATATATAAAAGAGGAAGGATTATGCAAGAAATTAGATTTCGTGAGAATACGAGAAGTTTCAATATCATATATAATTACACTCATTTGTGTGTACGTATTCAATCATATATGACTAAGTGTTTATGCGTTGTCGACGCAACATGTGTTTAATCAAATATGATTAAGTTTGTATATCATGTGTGTAATCATATATGATATTGAAACTTCTCGTATTTTCGCAAAATATTTAGCTCCTCGTTTGAAGTTACCGTTACACACATATAGAGGCCTAATTAAATGAGTACTAAATAGTTTGTGATAATTGTGAGATCCAATATGAACCAATCATTTAAGATAATTGATGTTATTTTTTAATTAACTAACAAAGGGTACAATAGTAATTTAATAAATTACAAATCATCAAAATGTTTTCATTTTAATTTTAGTAGTTATCCCTTAATAAATGTCAAATACACTTTCCTTATTTCCTTAATTTCAGCTACAATTATCATCATCATTACCTTCCATCTTCTTCCATACGTACTCTATTGTGTTGATTTTTGATATTCTTCATCTCATCGATTTATATTTCAAGTGCAAATGATTTATATGGATCCTTCCATCATCATTGCAACCATCGTTATATTGCCTTCCATCTTCTACGCATCCTTCCCCACCTAAACCCCCAACACCTCCTTGTTGTACTCGTCATTACAGTCATCAACGACAAGAATTCCCAGTACTAATCCAGTAAGGTTTCCGTCTGTAACCTGCTTTTTTTAAGATGGAAAAAGCTCGTTGGAGAGTCTCGCTTAGGGGTGAGCAAAGGTGGGTACTCAACCAAAATTCATGGAATCGATCACGGAACAAGAACCTGTTACACCGGCCGGTTCTTTATATATGGGAACCGGTCCTGGAACAGTTTGGAATGAGTTCCAGTACTGGGTACCTGGTGTCTATTTTTTTATCCTTTCATGCTATAATAAAATAATTATTAAGGCTATTACAAAGTACCAACTTAAAGAAATAAATACTACAAATGGTGAAATTAATAATTTGGGAGAACTTAGGTTGTGAAAATCCCAGTAATCAGATTAAATGTAATTTGAACAATCAAGAACAACAATCCAGTTATCAAATCATGCATATTGATAACAATGAATAGTACGTTAAGATCTAACTACAAACTACCATTAACAAACTATTTATATGATTGACTAAACATATAAGTCAAACTACAATTAACATACAATATTGACTTTTGTTGACTATTTTGACTTTAAGCTTTGACTTTTTCATTATATCATGAAAGAATCCAATAGATAAGCTTTAGACATTTAACTTTAAGCTTTGATATTACGTGTACTAAGCTCATTACCATTATATAATGAAAGAATCCAATTTTGTCAACAAACTTCTTCAAAGACTTTGATTCAATCATCCAAAAAATCTTTCACAAATAAGTCAACACAAGTTAGTATAAGTCAACACCAAATTCTTCAAATCAGCATCAATCTTTTCATCACATCTACAACCTTTAAATCTTATGAATTTTCAACCTTAGATTCAAAAGATTTAGATACAGGCCTTCTCTTCAACATAATCACTTGAAATTTAACTTCCCCCACATATATGATCTCTTGTTAGGTCCTCCTCAACATCGGCACATGTTATAAATATCTTTAATAATCTTTTTTCTTCTCTTCTTTGATACAATTTCTCCATCTCATGATGATTAGAAGAATCCTGAACATAATGAACAATCAAATACTGAAATCCTCCCCCCCCCCCAATGAACAATAAACTAAAGTTTCTTCAAAATGAATCAGATTTTCTCAAGCATCTTCAATTGATTTGACGAGATTGGGCGGCCAAAAACCAAGGGAGTCATTCAAGGAAGAACACGCTTGTTTGCGATAACCGTATATATATACACACACACACTAGGTTCGATCCCGTGTATTACGCGGGATAATTTTAAAAAATTAAATCATGTCAGGAAACTTATCTTAATATGATCATCGAAAGTATGATGTTACTTCAGACTTGTACTCTTGAAATAACTCTGAAATATAAGTCTGAAAAATTAATTTTCAGACTTGAATTTAGAAATAAAACTATACCAATAATTTGTTAGAATAAAGTTAACCCTAGAATAAAATTATTTATATATATATATATATATATTGGGTTTTCAAATTGGTTGGATGGCCAAAAACCAAACCTAACTCCAACCCAAATATCCCATCAAAAATTGGGTTTTGGATTTTGGTAGTATTTGAGTTTTGCACAAACACTTTATTTTCGGTTTGGTTTGGTTTTCAGCTTTTGTACACCCTTAATTAATATATTAATTGCAAAACTTACATTTCACAAACATATGAATTTGATAGCTTTTATTAAGTTTGTTAGATTTTCCGATACATATCACTAATAACGTTTTATAAGATTAAGACAAATCGTTTCTTATCCGGTGGTTATGTTCAAAATCAGTTATTTTCTGATGGTCCGGAATTAAAAAAAAAATGATATAAATAAATAAGCTATACTATAAACCTCACGACAATTTTTTAATACAAGTTATCAAATATCAAATAACCATACATTTATTAATACAAGTAGTTTAAAAATCAAATAACCATACGTTTAATTTTTATTCACTTTAATTCGATATGCATGTCGATAATTTTTTCCAATTTTTGTAATCACGTTTTATAATTTTGATGATAAATATATATATATATATATATATATATATATATTTTTACATACAAGTATATTTATACTTGCATTATTACTATATCATTTATTTGTTAACATGATTTATTTATTTATTTTAAGTTTTTTTATCATTTTTTATCAAAAAACCTGAAAAATCTAGAAATCAATAAAAAATCTAAAAAATTCTTTCGAAATCAATCAAAAACCAAAAGAGTTATTCAAATAAACCAAAAAAATTAAAAAATCTCTACAAATCAGCAAAAAAAAAAATCAAAAGCAAAATTCAACTAAAAATACATTTAACGATTTTAGAGACATTTTATCCAATTTAAAGACGGTAGTAATAAATTATATGTGTAGTTAAAATATTTTTATGTGCACATCTAGTTTGACGTCAGCGTTCATGTCATAATGCCTTGGTTAGAACCTCGATAAACTATGGATAACGGAAATCCCACCCTTTTCACTCATCACAACGATCGCATCCCCTTCCTTCCCTCCCTCCAAACCCGCATAAGTATAGGCCAAATTTTACTACACTCGTTCATCTGTCTCGGTGACGGCGGACTCGCCCTTTCTGCTCATCCACGTCGTCGCACTCCCCTCCGCCGCTGCTCCTCCCTTTTCGTCGGAAATCGGGTTTGATGATTACTGTTGGATTCGATCTTGTTGTATTTAATTATTTGGTTGCTGTTGTTGATGTTTGGACATACACCTTGAAGCTTTGATTCCCGCTTGTTCATAAGTGAATAATGGTTGTTTGTTGTCCTGGAATAGGATTTTAGGGCTGGATTTCATAGATGAATGAAATGTTTACTTGAGCATGTCTGTTAGTATTGGTTGTATACACATAATAGCAATGGTGAAAATGCTAATGCTGTGTTAGTATTCACAACTGAACTCGTTTCATATCTGAAATTCTTTGTCTCTCATAACAATCAATCGTTTGAACTGTCGCAAATTGCTTAAATTCTTTATGAACTCGCTTCCAGAGTGCAGTATGGCTCATTTGTTATCCTTATTTGTCCTTCCTTCTCCAACCCTCCTGTGTCACGGCTACTCATTCTATCTCTTGTTATAAAGGGACTCGAGTAACTAGCTAGTATTCTGTACTCTGTATCTTTCTCTTCCTGATTCTGTATATAGCTTATAGCTACGACAGAGAAGGACAACTTAGTTATTACAGCTAACTTAACTTGGTAGAGTTTGCAAATTGTAAGTTACTAGACATCTAAGATCATATTTATAATGATTTAAATTCTTATGATGTAGAGGAAGCTGTTTGAATGTTATATGCTCATGATTAAATCACTTGTCTCTTTCTTAATTCATTTGTTTTTATATTCATAATCCATATTTTCATTCAAACACTTGATTTCAACCTTTTGCATTGCTTATGTGTGGCTTCTCACGTGTAGGGCATATGCTATTACTGTTTTCATTTTTCCGCTTCATATATCGCTTGATTTATGAAGAAAAAACGCTACATAATGCATTGTAGGCTAACACTAAATAAACTAAATCAATACATGCTGTACTACATTTAGTCCGCTTGTCCAATATTTTGAATGAAGGAGATAAAGAAAAAACACAATAAAGCCGTCAAACCCACTCAGAAGCATTATGAGGTGAACTCCCTATGGTCTAAGGGCGTGGACATCCTTGACATACTTGCGTCTAAGGTCAACCCCTCTCTTGTATCCTACCACTCAATTGTCCATAAAATACTTATCCCCGTGTCAACTTTGGTTGACCTCTACCTTTCCTTGCACTCTTTTCTTGGTACATGTTATCTCTTCAAATCAGTGCAATAAAAGGTTCACGTTGGACTAGAACTAGTCAAGCGGTGTTTGCTTACTAGGGGTGTTTGAGCATCCAATTTTCTGTATAAAATAGTGATTACTGCATTTTTCTCTTCCCTACCAGCATTGCTAAAGTTGCACTTCATGCTCTTCTGTTTTGTTGTTGCTTAATTTAAAACATCTAGATTCCAGTGTTTCCTCTTTCATACTGACAGTGCTGAAGTTGTACCAGATGCACTTCTGTTTAATTTGGCTCAAGAGTTGTAACCACTAGTAGAGGTTGCAAGGTAAGAATGACATCTCCTAAAGGAAGTCTTTACAACTATAAAATCATAAGCTACTGAAAATTTAATATTTTTTCGTGATCCTTTTCACCACATTAAAAACATCCATGCCTTCTTTCAAAGCTTCTTGTATATCTACTTGACCATTAAGATCTCGTCCTAATAGAAGCTTCGTGTTTGTTGGTGTCCGGCAAACAACTTCTTTAATAAGATTCCAAGGAGGTAAGTACCATCCTGGAAAATAGTCAATAAATTTAAATAAGCAAGACATAACGTCTTTATGAAGAGTATTATCTTATAATGTATCCCTTTAAGATGGCTCAAAATGAATAACTTTTATAAGGTTAGTCGACGACCCCGTGCTGATTACTTTTTCTTATTTATTATGTGTGTGATTGTGTCTGACTGCATGAATGTGTGCTTGATCTGTGACACTAGAGCATCTCCAAGAAACATTTATATGATAATCATAACATCTTTGATAATCCGATGTGCTTTTTGTGCCAGAAAAAGTTATGAAAGGCTTTGTGTTTTCATTCTCAGCCAATGACACTCTATTTTATCACTTGGTCAGGTCTGAAGGAACCAATGGTTTTCTCATCATCCTATATTCAGATGGTAACTACGTTTGTTATATTTCTAATTCTTCTACAGAATCTTAGTTTCCGAAATATAAGACTGTAATTTTCAGTATTTTGCTGGTGATGCCAGTACCAGTTTTAGCGGGAGTTGGATGGTATGTAGGTTACATACTCGCACACAAAAATATCAAAGGATAATCTAAATTTCATTAGGTTTTCTTATCAACCACAAATTTTTTAATGATCTTGTGGAGTTTCAAGTCCTCTTCCTTGATTGAGTTCAAGAGGGTTAATGGCCATGATGCCTATGAAGAATAAATTGAAACAACCACATCACTGATTAGTCTTCAATTGATCTATCAAGGTAAATGCAAGTTACAACCCCATGAAGATGATGAACAGACTTAACCAGCAAAGTTCTATTCTCTTGTTCTTTGACTGAAAAAAACTTTTAGATCATGTGCATTTACATAAACAAAGACCCGACAGGAAAGAAAGCTGAAACTCAACAAAAACACAAGCTGCTGAGAGTGACAGTATCTATGTACAATGCTTCCAATATGCAGAAATGGATGTGCCATAAAAGTTGCTATAGTAGCCTTATGTATAGATGCCAGCCTAACTAAATAAAAGGAATCTACATGTGAGAAAGTTTTCCTAACATTTTTAAAAAAAATTGTGTCCTTTTGGTATTTTGAAATCTTCTTGAACTGAAACCTTTAAAGTGAGTATGGTTTCAAAACTCAGAAAGTGATGACGCACAGCAAATAGAATGCTGAAGAACTCTCTGTTAGTTATCATGAGTTTTGGATCTATGTTGAAGCTCGGAGGTTATGAAGCCTTATCATAACCTCAGTTACAGTACTTATTTATGCATTACTCTTATTAACCTAGTCGGAGCTCGAGATAACTTTGGTACATGTGAAGCTTACTGATGTTTCTTTCACTGGAGCAATGATTGTATGTGACCTAGCTCCCTTGTTTAATTGATGCTGCCATAATGTGCGTTATGTAAACAGGACAGTTGGATAAAAAGTTGTGGGTTTGGGTGTGTAAATAGAAAAAATATCTGCGAATAAAAAGGCTATGGATCATACATAGTGCTTTGCAGCAATTCTTTGCAAAAGATAAAAAATCCTTAAACGTTGGTGAGTCAGCAATCAATAAGATTTGCAAGTTCTTATCCAACATCATTTACTCATATTGAAGTAAGCAAATTACGCAATGGCGAGTTAGGCAATTTATTTTTGGAATTCAACTGAACCCTGGATACACACAGTCGAAGTGGGAGATAATTGCAAGACAGGCATTGTGAATTATCAGATGTATCATATATTAGTGGGACTGGTTCTAAGTTTTAGTGCTAAAAGGCACAATAAGCAACTAAATTACGGCTTTCATTCTTCCCACCTGTACCTGACCCTTTATATATGCGCCCTTTCAGTTTTTTGAACTTGTATAAAATAGAAGTGGGACTACATGCTAGGGAAGACACCAGAGAAGAAGAATGTGTTAATCTTACTGTTCTAATAAAATATTTTGTGATAGAACTTGTATAATAAAAAACAAGTCTTCACGATTAACTTGTTTTTTACATGATAATATACATTTGATAGAAGTAGGCTTACCGACAAAACAAGTGTATATATGTACTTGCAGATCCATATAATGCTTCTACAAGTTAACTTCTAACTAACCAAAAGACCTTATTGTTATCAACGATGGTTGAGGCTACTAGGTGTATCCTTTTGTCTATCTCAGTAATTTCTTGAAGTTAAGGACTACCCTTTTATAAAAGCAATTTAACATGCTTACAAAGGACTGCTGTATCAAAGATGCCGTTAGCGCCAGCTGATACCTGTGTTATTTCTTGCATGGCCACTTTTGTTGCTAACTATTTCTGAAGATTTTTAATGTTGAAAAAAGATTATATTTTGAGAAATAATTGATTGATTGCTGTTGTACTTTTGGGAAAAATGAAATTTAGGTAGTGAAATTATCCTTGATGAATGCGAGGCTGGTTGCTTCAGTGCACATTTTTCTGTGTGACATTGTGACATTAGCCAATTCTTAGTATTTTTACAATTGCGACGTTCCGTGTTTACATTTTTTCTTAAGTTTGATACCAACATATTCATTCTGGTTGCTGTCTGCTCTTTAGGGACTTTATTGCTCTCCGTATAAAGATCCGGTCAGGAGGCACTCAGGGCAGAGTAAGTGATCTTATTATCTTGTTTTTAGCTTTACGCATTCTTTATTCTACTGACCTTTCCTCAGTATCGGTCTTTGATGATTCCACTTTGAAAGGTTTTCTTCCAATTCATGACCTTACATTTCTGCATGTTTATTAAATAGGTGGCAAAGATCTAACATCACACTTTCAGAATGCAAATCTGACACTCCCGTTGACTAAAAAAGGTGAACTCTTATGTTTTAACAGGGTTAACTCAACTCTATGGGTGACACTAACATAGCACCCAAAATTCTCAAAGTCACTTAACTAATTGAGGGCATAGTTTATTTGTACCCTTAAAAAGCTATAAATAAAATTAACAATATAATAATCCTGTTGTTCTTCAAGTTCTCTCTGCTTTCCCCCTCTCAATACCACATCAGAATTATAGATCGATGAACATTAAAGTTCATCCGGACAACATTAACTTTTAAAACTCAGATTTCTCTCAATTTCTTTTAGTTTTATGATATTTTACAATGGACAACGATGACTTCTGAAAAGCGGGTCCCCTATACCAGAAGGTCCTCTTTGCATCTTGCATCATGTTCTTTCACTAACATATTACGACAATCTGCTTCTTCCATTAAGCTTAGTTGAAATTATATAACCAGTTTTTTCTTGATGTTTTCTGCAGATGGTATTCGCGATTGTGTCATCTCTAAAAGAAAATACCCCTGTACATCTAGATGCTTTTTTCACCCACAAGAAAGGTTCAGTGGCATGTCTGATCGTTATAAGTGGCGTAACCAGTATAAAAATTGGAGATCTGTTATGGTTAGATCTGAAATTGCTGGTGCTGGATCACCTAGAGCGTCCTATCAATTGTCAGGTTTTGCTCATCCCAGCTTCTAAGTTTACATGGGATTGTTTATTTGTCCCTATTCTTTTCTTAATGATTATTATTTTTTATTATTTAAATGCAGGATTCCAAGTGGGCTCAAAAATCAGAGGAATTTGCTTTTATACTGTCACATCCTTCATTGCCATGTTTCTGTTTGTACTCATGCTGGTGGYGCATCCTTTTGTGCTCTTAAGGGATAAATACCAAAGGAACTTTCATCATTTTGTTGCCAAAATTTGGGCATCCATGACCATTGTTCCATTTTTTAGATTAAAGATTCAGGGTTCTGAGAATCTGCCTCCAAAAGATTCTCCAGCTGTTTATGTGTCGAACCATCAGAGCTTTTTAGACATATTTTCACTGCTCACTCTAGGAAGAAACTTCAAGTTCGTTAGCAAGACCGCAATTTTCCTCTTCCCTGTTGTTGGCTGGGCCATGTTCTTGATGGGCACTATTCCTCTGAAGCGTATGGACAGAAAGAGCCATTTGGTATTTGGTTTATCCTATTTTTGCAGTGTTTTTCTCTGTCAAACTTGCCCTCTTTCTTTACTGCTGAACTATATTTTCTTGGATTTTTATTAACGCAGCAAACTCTAAAACGTTGCATGGAACTTGTCAAGAATGGTGGATCTGTTTTCTTCTTTCCTGAGGGTACACGAAGTAGGGATGGAAGTTTAGGTACCTTCAAGGTGAGAGATCCTGGTTGGGGCCTTTATCATAATTATTTAGTATTTCATTTTGCACTTAGATTTTAATATATTTTGCTTACTAAAGAGGATTGAGATGCTTGTGAATAAGAATGATTGGAGTTTCATTCCTTCAGGGTTCTGCCTCTTAGAAAACGAATATGAATGACTGGAGTTTCTTATAGTGGAAGGTCACAAAGAAGGAATTCATTTTCTGATTCTACAGATGATATTTTTCCACATCATCATGGTGCTGAAGTAAGGGCAATCATGTGATCCTGGGATGATGGGATTCAATGAACATCATTTATTCATATAGGGCCCTAGGAACCTTGAGTTTGGTTATTTTGCAGCAATGTTTCTTGAAATTACATCCCTTTCCGTTCTAGTTTCTAGTTGATGAGATTCATTGAAAATCATCTATCAATATAGGGATCTAGGAACCTTGAGTTAGGTTATCTTGCAGCAATGTTTCTTGAAATTAAATCCCTTTCCGTTCTACTGTCTAGTGGACAAATAACTGTGTTGAGCAAAATAGAAGAAATTAATGAACTTGCTCTTGTTTGTTTCTTTGTAGAAAGGTGCGTTTAGTATTGCTGCCAAAACCGGGGTACCAGTGGTTCCAATTACTCTTATGGGAACTGGTAAAATTATGCCTGCAGGGATGGAGCGTACATTAAACTCGGGAATGGTCAAAGTTGTAATCCACCAGCCTATTAAAGGAGATAATCCGGACAAACTATGCTCCGAGGTTAGAAATGTGATTGCAGATGAGCTCGTTCGTCAAGGCTAAGTATATATGCAAGAAATTTTGTTAGTTTTACATCCCAACACCAAGTCTTTGCTGCAGTTTGAGGGAACATAGACCAAAAGGTATCAATTAGTTTTCAAATGTTTCGTTTTCGCTTTCATGCTCTATCAATAAGCAAGTTCAGTAGAGTAGACACTTTAATCGTATTTTCCCCAATAACTAGAGCCCACCTTTCATTTTAAACAATCTATGGACTTAATTCTCCAATTTCAAACAAATTTTGTTAGTTTTACATCCAACACCAAGTATTTTCCCCAATAACTCCACTTTTACTCCTAGTTAAACCGAAAAATTGACTTAATTTTAAGTTTATGGAAAGAAAGAGTAATGTTGAATTCTTTGGCCATTTGACTTTTTTTTTGTTGGTTCCACTTTATATGATGTCATAAGAAATGTTTCTGAGCTCTATTTACCTGATCTTAGCCTCTTAGGAGAAACCTAGAGAATAGATGGAGGAAAATTATGTAAACAATCGAATGGTGTTTACTTGAGTGTCAAATCTTGGAAGGGGATTCCTTCATTCGAAAGGACTAAAAATGAAAACTGTAACTCCTGCCACTTTCAGTTTCCAGAAACCAAGTTATGTTCACTGCTAGAATCATTCGGTAACTTCTGCTAATTGCAATATGTTTATCTTGGCAAGTAAATAGTCCCAGAAGGATTGTGGGCCTGTTTGTTAGCAGCTTAATGAGCTTAATGGATTCACAGCTTATTCGGTCAACTATACATTACTGTTTGGTAGTGACTTAATAATATAGAAAATAGCTTATTCAGTTAAGCTTCTAGGGGGAAGATTTATGTAGAAAGCCAAGTTTTTTTCAAACCTGCCCCTCCCAATTAAAAACCATGCTCCTACTATATATGAAAAAAACCCCCCAAATAAAAAATCTTCTCAATCTATACAGATAGATTAATCCACACTGACAGTTTTATCTATATAGTACTTAATGGAATATCAACCAAACAGCCCCTAACACGTCATGCAAATCCTGAACTGATTATTTTTAGAACCTGAAAGTTTGCATTACAGCATAAACATTTAACATTTGCTGCAAAAAAATTCTAGAGTGATTATTTCTGATCTTCTCCCTGTATATATTATGATTTGTATCCATTTTAATCCTTCCATCTGATTCGCTATGTTTTTGGCCACATATATGCGGCATTTTTGTTCATTACCATATTCAAATGTAATTCAAAGAGCTTACATCGGAAATTCATCCTTTTTTGTGGACTCCATTTTGTATGATGGTCCAATTATGTGAAATTTAGCATGGATTACCTGAAATGCTCCGATTTGTGTATGGGTATTAACTGTTCATCAGCTTTTGGTGCAGATGCAATAAGCCGATGCGTTGCTTCATCTTGAGATTGACTGACCACGTCTAAGTGTTGTACTTAACTGGTATAAATGTACTAGTCTTCATACAAATAACAATATGATAAAATCAAGGAAAACTTTAGTTTGTTTTTGCATCTACTTGTTCTTCATCCAAATCAAAAAGCATATTTTTAATGAGATCCATGATTGGGAAAGGAGAGAAGTGATTGATGCTTCTGATATTCCCCATTCCATGCCCATTTGAAGAAAGAAGCATCCAATTAATTTCTCTGCACTGCTTCTGCTACTCCATTCCTGTGACCTTCAATCAGAATCTAAACCATTGTGCTGTGCTACTTTGGTTTCTGGGATTTGGTAGATTTGTAACTGAATTCCACTTGAATCATGTGTTTGGTTTATAGGAAAGTATGAATTTCAAATCCCATGACGGGTGGGTTTAGAAAATCTCACTTCAAATCCAAATTCCACGTATTTCGATTGTTTCCATCACGTCCCCACGTCTTTTTCATCAAATTTGTCATAATCTTTATTCTCACATTTTCCCAAAACAAACAAATGCTTACAAACAAACAAATGTTTACAAAAAATTAATTTCCATTTCAAATCATACGAATCAAGTGCACCAAAGATTTGAATTATTTTCATCGCATCTCTACCATATATTTTTCATCATATATGTCGTAATCTCTCTGACTCCATGGCCTCCAAATCTTACCAAAACAAACAAATATTTACAAAAAATTAAATCTCATTTCAAATTCTACGGACCAAATATACCAAAGATTCCACTTCCCTCCTAAGAAGTCCAAATCCCCAAACACATTCAAATTTAACCAAATGTCTCACTTTCTTTCCGTTAACATTTATTCTTGTAGGAAATAATAGTTTCTGATTATTGTTTAATCATTGTGTCTGAAGTCAAATCTGTAAGAAATAAGTTAAATCCAAATCTTGTAGTAGCCTTTGTTATTTCCTATAATCTTTTCTTCTTGTTCGATTGTTTAGTTCTTAATCCTTGCATTTGCATCTACTGTTTAACTGATCAAATTTTCAAGAAATAAGTTGTTTAATCTCTGGTTATTCGTTCAGAATGAGACAAATAAAGTTGCAAAGGTGTTTTCTTGAAACATTTTATACGAGGGGAAGTGGAGGAAAGTTAAACAAAAAAAAAACTTATGTTTTTTAAACTATTTTAGGAAAGAAAGAAAAAGAAAATAATAATAACTTTCCTCCCAAGTTCCAAATGTGGGAGGAAATGAAGAAAAAAAGAAATTAAAATTTCAAAACTACTCAATCTTTCATTTAAATGATATATTTTTAAATAAGGATGTGTAAAATTTGAATGGTCCGAAATTCGAACCCGAACCAAAAATAAGGTATTTGTACAAAATTCAAATTCCCTGAATTCCGAAATCCGAAACCCGACTTTTGGTGGGAATTCTGGATTCGGGTTAGGTTTGATTTTTGGCCATCATATATATTTTAAATATTATATAAAGAGTAAATTACAAATTTCATCCTCGTGGTTATTGAAAATCTTGGATTAGGTCCTCAATTGAAATAATTACAAATATAGTCATCATGGATTGGGTCCATTTGCCCTAACTTCACTAACCATTTTTCTGTTAAGATAAGATAATATTGTCTTTTTTACTTTTTTTTAAAACATAAAAACTAATATATAATATAGGGCAAAATGCGTGAAATGACAACCTATTTTTTTACAAATTTTCTTATTATAATATTGTACTTTCAGATTTTCTCATTACAACAATATACTTTCAAAATATTTTTATTAGGACATCGTACTTTCAAAATTTACCCGTTATAGCATTGGTAACTTGTTACCTTATGAACAAGTTTTTCTTTGTTGACGTGTCCAACTTAAAATGGCATGAAACTCACATAGGATAACTTGTTACACATGGGAAATACACGAAATAGCAACCTACTTTTACAAAAAAATTTATTATAGCATTGTACTTTCAGTTTTTTTTTATTACTGCAATATACTTTCAAAATGTTTTTTATTAGGACATCATACTTTAAAAAATTTATTCGTTATAGCATTGGGTAACCTGTAACCTTATGAACAAGTTTTTCTTTGTTGACATGTCAAACTTAAAAGGGCAAAATGCTAGAAATAGCAACCTACTTTTACAAATTTTCTTATTATAGCATTCTACTTTCAGTTTTTCTTATTACAACAATGTAGTTTCAAAATATTTTTTATTAGGGCATTGTACTTTCAAAAATTTACCCGTTATAGCATTGAGTAACCTTTTAAATTAAATTTACCCATTATACCAGGTTTCTTTGTCACCTCATCGTTCACGTAGGTTGTCCACATGCACAATAGTGTTGACATGACATTTTTTTTATTATAGCATTGTACTTTCAAAATTATTTTATTATAACATCATCAATTTTTATTACAACATTATAATTTTAATTTTAATATTTTTATCATTTAAACATTGTAAATTAATCAAATATATTTACTAAAAATTATAATATCATAAATTAAACATGTTTACAAAAGATCACTATTTCACGAATAAAAATTTTCATAAAAAACCATTCGTTCATCGAGTTTATCGTAAATTTCAATACTTACTTTGTAATGCCAAAAACTAAACAAGTGGACATCTTTTCAAAAAACAAAAACATTCTATTCACATTCTTCTAACAATGTTATTTAATCAAGTGGAACCGCCTTGTCACAACTACTACCTTCTCCATCTTTCTCAACAGTATTTTTCCGTAGGTTGTTCAAAGTTATCCTTTCACTTGGCCTCCTTTTTTTCGGGATGAGCTTTGGTCGTGATTCCACTTGACGTGGTTCCTATTCAAATTAGTAAACAAATTAGTATGCAATTGATATATAAAATTAGTATGAAACTCGAAGATTTTACATTACCTTTTTAGCACCCTTTTGTGAAGCCGTTTCACCTCGTGTGCCCCCTTCACTGCTTTGTCTACGAAAATTAGTCCTAGACCTGCCGGTGGTCTGACATCTTTCAATGGTCATTTTTTTTCTCATTCTTGCATGATCTACTATTATGACCTGCTTCATTACACTTCGTGCATGTCATTCTTCTTCCTTGTCTTCCAGTCTGTCCTGTTGAAGTCAATAATTTTTCCACTGCATCCCTTCTTCTTTTAAGTTTTGGCCTTCCAGGCAATCTTCTTGGCAACGGCGGCAAAGGGCTGATGTAATTGGTTTTCAGCCACATTTTGATTCTGTTTAAAGGTCTTAAAGTGTATGACTGAATAAACATGTTTTTTCTGAAACAATCTGGAATCTTGTTTACGTACAAAATCGCAGCCATAGCATGGGCACAAGGCAAACTCGATAGTTGCTAATAGCTTAGTGTGGTCATTCCTTTCAAACCATATTTGGTAACCATTGGCTAATGCATAATTTGTTATGCATTCTTTGAGTTGTGTTGGGCTTTGATATCTCTCACCTAGTATAGGTTTCATGATCTTCTAATGTGTTTTGGATTATGAATTGGATATTTTCCACCTTGTGTGAGATCATGCTCTTCATCATCATTATTTATATTGGTCTCAACAATATTATCCCTTTTTAACTCCCCATTAAGATCATTTAAAAAATATTTCATGCTCAAAAGCCATCAAATCTTCTTCTCTCACATTATCATGCTCTTCTCCAATATATTCTTGTGTCACTAAACCATGCCTAATTTTTTGTCTAAATTCAATTATTTCATCTTCACCTTCGGATATGTGATCTAAAGAAGGAGCATCAGAAACATCATCATCATCACTAAATGAACTATCATTATCATTATCATTACCATCTTGTCTCAAGTACCAAGTCTTCAGCAAAATCATCTAAATACACATCAATTATCTCCCTACTTTTGAGTCCATATTCAATAAAACTCTTAAAATCCACATTACATTTAATCTTTCTTAAACCATTTTCTAAGCCCTTACTAGGTTTACAAAAATATATGTTTCCACACAATGTGTGTGTTTCATTCTTCAAAAAAGCAACAAAATCTATGTATTCCATGTTGCCAATGTCAAAAGTTTCATAAAATTTTCTCAACCCATTAGCATATTCAAGTGGCCAAAATACAAAAACACCTATATAATGTATCTCAAAAGATATTGATGAAGTCATCCTGAAGATAAAGAAACATAAAGAATTTAGCATCTGGGATAACCTTAAAACAAATAAAAGAACCATAAGTTGAATATAAAGAATCATAAGATTGGGTATGAACATAGAACTAAGGAACTGGCTTTGGCAATGTGATCAATGTGCAGAACTTTTAATTGTAAACATGCTAAACATGCTTTATGTGCTAATTGTGTAAAAAGAGAATTTGCTAAAATGTCAAGTGTACTAGTGAGCTATAAGTAGAACCCATAGTTATAATGAGATGTAAGAGGTAAGTTTGGTGCTAACACCTCACAAATGACATGATTAGATGATGTGAGGGTTCAAAATACAAAGTATATTGCCTAAATGAAAATCGGGTAGGTAACTAGAGCGCCTAAATGGGAAAATTTTACCTAAAACTTGAATGGATTATCTAAATGGTGACGTAAAGGATGGAACACCTTTGAATAAGTTAATATGAAGTGTTAGAAGTGAAGGAAGTCGAAAAAGTCGTATAGATTGCATTTGATGCAAGTTTTACAAATTACGTTGCTTTTTCGGTAAACTACGTACACAACACTCAAACTGGAGGTGTTTTATGGGATGTTAAGCTTTGGAACTAAGTTTTAAACCTATTAGGAGGAGTTGTAGGTGTCGGAAATTTTTTATAGGATTCACAAGCAATTGTTGATTAATTATAGGATTTATGTATAAAGTTTGACTTTTGAAAGTCAAACTTGGCAAATCATGGAATTATTGTATAAAATGAAAGGGGTTTTGATATTTTTATAAAGTTTATGATGTTTAAGGATGAAATTATGAATTTGGAACCATTTGGAGGTGATTTGGGTAGAAAAGCATCAAAAAATGGACATTTTAGACTATAAAGACGCTGTTTCTGCAGCAACTTTGAAAATTCGTATAAAATCAAAGAAACATCCTAAATTGTGAGACCAGTTCCATGTGAAAGATAATTTAGTCTAGTTTAATTCATCTGTAG